CTCCCTCCCCTTCGATCCCCCCGAATTTTGTTTTCTTTCGTACACGGACAAGGAGCCTCAGTGCACATTATATGTTACATGCGCGCGCAAGCCGCTCGTCGCGTAGCGGGTCGGACTAGTGGTGAAACACGGCCAAGAAGAAAGATAAGAACGCTGTGTGCTGTTGTGCGTGCGCGGAGTGTGCAATATTTTGGTTACATCAGGGATAAAAACGCCACGAGAGCAAACACGAGGGGCATCGTGAAGCTCACCGGAAACGTCGCGCGAGATATGGATTGGGCGCTCAAGGCTCGCCGAACGTAAGTCCCTAAACTCACTCTCTGCTAGCCTACTTTGTCCCGAATTGTCCCTAGGCGGTCTCCGTCCTCCGTCGAGGAGAACTCGTGTTCCCGAGAGTTGGAGCTTGGGTCAGACGTTGGGTCTGATTCCAAGACCTGAGGTGTTAGTGTAGGAAAACTTGGACCGTGTATGTATTGCACAGGATGGACGTTTCGCAATCAGTGGTCGTCGGTTACAACGAAAAGGATACTCGTGCAGTGTTAAACTTGTCTCTTCCAGTGAATGTCTGCTTCTGATTTCGTTTCTTTATTCTAATATGTGTTGAACGTCGTGTGCTCTCTCAGTCTCGAGGAGAGGAGAAAAAAAAAGAATTCGAAACGCGATGTCACTCGTCGTCGTGCCTGTGTCTTAAAGTCAGTGTTTGTTTGCCCAGCCGTCTGGGCGCGTTGTATCGGTATATAAGCCGACCGACTCGATAAGCTGATACGCGAGCAAAATAAAGGCTGTGTTCGTCTCGCGGCGACCGTCGCTTGTGACCGTGGCTCTGCCATGGGAATCGAGCCTTTCCCGTCCGTCGAAACTCTACCGTGAACTCATCGCACCGTGGAAGATTCCGCGGAAGCGCGGTTCGTTGTAATCGCCCCGTTCGAAGCGTGACTCGACTTGAATTTTACGAGCCCGTTGGTGTTACGCTCTTTTTGCTCTTCGTTTCAGAATCGCGTTTTCTGAAACTTCCCTAGATAACATCAATTACACATACACTCGTGCACTTATCGTTGAATCTTACTGAAATTGGAGGTTAGGTCTCAATTTTTCTAAATCACAGAAGAATCTAATATCTTCCGATAGCAGTGTATTCTAACTACACGATAAAATTTTCTTAGATAACACCATTTAGGATGGTCTTATCTATCCTTTATCCTTTTCACTGTAAACGTTTCCGTTACCAAATAATTAGATTTTAATCTCGCGGAATAACAGCAAAATTCAACATCTCTTCGTTACCTCGTTTTATCAAAAGTGAATGGAATTTAAAACTTTTTAATCCACGATTAAATTCCCTCTCCTTCTACACAATTCCAAATATTATCGCTTTATCTGTTCGATGAGACAAGCCTCTCCGTCAGAAGAATGAAACTCGTATTTCTTTCCGCAGTTCATCGTCGGCAGACAAATTCGTCGGGGTCGTAACTCAATCCCGCGTTGCGCGTTCGATTACTCGCGTCGAACGTGGCCACGGCTCTTCGACTCTCCTTTCTCTCATTCATTATTCTCTTTAATCCTCTGCAAGTTCGTTGCGTAACGCGCTCCGATCAATACCGACAATGTCGCGCTGTCGAAGGACGACGAAAAGAGGTTTCGCTCCTGCGAACAACGCCAAACCGTTCTGTCGTCGACGTGTCGGATAAGCAAAGCCTAAGTGTGTGTGCGCGTGCGTGCGTGCGAGAGAGAGAGAGAGAGAACGAGAAAGGCTTTTCCCGTCGGGATATTCTCGCGAACGGTGGCCGTTAAGCGGCTCGGGATCGTGAAACAGCTGCTCATTGTTTAACGACACAACAGTGGTGAGTTCGCGACGCGTCCGATAAACGTCAGGACCATGTGCACACGAGGGGCGGGTGGCGGGGGAGGGAGAGATACGGGATAACACACGTCTAGAAGACCTCGCGTGTTAACGAGCTGTAACGTTCGAAGTACGTTAAGAACATGGACAGCCATTGATATGTTGGTAGACCTGGTTCAAACAAGGCTCTGCGCTAGTTTCATTCGAATTACGTAAAAATGAAGGTTAAACGATTGTAGAAGGAGAGATTCGAATTAATGGAAGAAAATTAATACTGTTCTTGACGAAGAAGTGGTAATAA